AATGCATAAATAGTTGGTAAATTTCACAACTCAACCTCATTTTTGACCAATCAGGTGCATGGCAAGTATAAGCTATAGTGACCCGATCTTAAAGTAGTGCGAAATTGCGTGTTTTTGCACTTGGGTGGAGGAGTTATAATGCAAAATCCCATATCTGATCAATTAGTTGTATTTAGGCTTTATAATAAATTATAAAAATAAATAATGGATGAATTATAAAAAGGCGCCAAATTTCGATGTATGGCAAATTGATGGCCTAATTTGCTTTCAAACAGACAGACAGAGAGGGTGGCAAGTCTAAATCGACTCAACTCGTCGTACTGGCACTTTTTCATGGGTCTATCTCTTTTTCTTCTGATACTTAAAAACATAGTATTTTATTAGTCTGAATGCGGTTACTATATTTTCTGATAGCCAGGCAGCTATTAAAGCACAAGGAATGTGGACGTACTCTAAATGCGCAGGTGTTACGTCACTAATGTTGTATGGTTGCCAGGACGGGCAACTAATTTGCAGATGAACTAGCAAAGAAAGCAACCTTACTGTCTGCAATCAGTACAGCTCGTTATGCGAGCAATCTGCTATCTTAATTCAAACTCTGGCTGGAGAATACCTTTATCGAACGGTCAAATACAAGATGGTCTTCGGAGCCTACGTGCAGGATAGTAACATGCATCTGGCGCAATTTGAATAAGCGTAGGTCTAGCCAACTCCTCCACTTGGAGCGATCACTACTCCGACATGCAATTGGAATTATCACCGGGCACAGCCAGATGGAAATCCATGCTGCTAGAAAGGAGTTTGCAGTCAAACGACTACTGTCGTAGCTGCCGTAATGCGGCGGAAATCGAAAGCGTGGAGCGTTACTTATGCCCCTGTCCCGCTTTGGCGAGGGCTCGTCGACGCTCGATAACCAAACATTGAACAACCGACCACCGACCCTTAGTGTTTTGCAAAATAAGTATTATAAAGTTCTATAAAAAGCTATAATAATAATATTATATTTTGGCGCTTACAATTTGGTCCGACGGAGAGTCAAATAGTATGCAATGCACTTCTAATTACCCAGCCACAGGCGTCGCCATATAAAAACTTACTTGACCGAAAAAAAAAAACAAAAAATGCCACATACAATTTTAAGTACAAACATACATAGCTACACACAAGCATGCAACGCTAAACAAAAACACTTAAAAGTCTCTTTTTTTGTTGCTTTTTTTTTTGTTTTTTGTTCATTTAGCTGAGCCCTTGTCGCTGATGTAATTAAAGTTCGGGCAAGTTCGCTTGTATTGGGCATTAGGGCAGCATTAACGTGCAAGCCGACATGTTGTACACCATGTCGTATGAGTATTTATTTGTGAGTGTGTGCATATGCGAATACCACCCATGAGCCATCTAGCACGTGTGTGGCAAGTGTTGAATAAATATAGTGTCCTGCGTTTGCTTGCTAGTCCAGCTGCTGCACTACTATTTACATACTAAGCTCACATAACTATAAACAAATGAATGTAGTAGGGTGGTTGTGCGGTTGTTGTTATTATTATTGTTGCTGCCATTTTGTTTAGCAAAAACATTTTATGGCTGAAATGACACCGGCGGCGGTGTTAATTTAAACTGTTTACTGATATTCATATGTCCCGTTGGTAATACACTTATACGCATGCACACAGACCGACACACACCTATCAGCTAGCAAGTATGTATAAACATAAGTAAAGTAAATTGAATGGTTTACAACAACATATGTATGTGTTGTAGTATGTATTGCATAACGAGCAGGTGTTACGAGAATGTTGTAAACATTTGTAGTAGCTCTGTGGAAAATGCTTGTTTAATTGATTTTTAAGCTAAAAAGTTGTTCAAAAATGCCAGAAGAGGCAGTGCTGTTACCGAAGTGTACTGCGGTGTACAATGTAAACTGGGTATTAGAGTGTCTAGTAACCTCTTGAAAACTCTACCAACCCAGTGCCTGTATGCCGTTTGGTGCTTAACATTGCAACATAACGTAAACATAATGTGCAATAATTTTTGCTAACACCAGGGCAACACAACCAAAGCTTACACGTGTAAATATATATGTATGTATGTATGTAGGTGCAGGCATGCAACAAGGTAGAGCCCAGCGCACAAGCAGACGTGCAACCAACCAACCAATTAAACCAAATTCTAAAGCACCAAAAATGTTGCTAGCCATATCATCGACAGCAGCAGCAGCAGCAGTGCGTGAATTTGCATTGGCGTCGCCCGAAATGCGCCACATTCCTGTTGCATTTTCATCGTCTGTGTAAAAAAAAAACACGCGCATAAGCATGTAGGTATTTATGTGTACAAGTATTTACATGTAAGTGCATGTCATATGACTTTGTTGCAGTCACGCAGCTGCTACGGCAGACGGCTGACATGTTGCCTTTGAATGCGAGTGTGTGTGCGAGTATGTGTTGCTTGAAAAGCCTCGATTATTTTCGTACGGCCATACATGCTTGTGGCATGATAATTTTTATGGCCTTTTCTAAACGTAATACTAAAGTTTGCCAAAGCAATGTGGTGAAAATCAAATCGCCACATTTTATCGGCATGTTTGTTCTCATAGCTTAAGGTTAAGAATTTATTGAGTGTGGTTGGAAAAAAAGAGGAGTAAATTAATTTATTTTATGCGATAACTTCTGCAACAGAAACTAATTGAAACAACTGCACCACTTTCTGCTTATACTAAAGATGAGCTGGTGGATTGAAGCTGTAAATCGCTTGAGTGAGGCGTTAACCCCAACCACCATTTAATTACCAGTTGTCTGGATTTATTTAAGTATTTTTTTTTACTAGGCCTTATACATATCTCCAATCAAATTTCCATATTCCCTCATTTAATCCTTACTAATATTATAAATCCGAAAGTGAGTTTTTTATTGGTTACACTTTCACGCTTTAACTACTCTACACTAATGCCATTTAGCCTAACTTAAAATATAGGACAGATTTAATCTCGAGTATACGGAACGGAACGGAACGGAATTTTCATGTCGCATATCATATCTCAGAAAATATTTTTTATAGATTGCAAGAACTTGGTAAAGATACACATATGTATATAAAATCAATTCTATACTCATGGAGGAGGGCTGCCACCTGTTAAAAAAAAAAACAAATTCGATAATGAATGATATTAAATAATGGTTGACAAGAGGCTTACAAAATTATCAAAATTTTTTTATTCCGCTAGTGAGTGAGTGAAAACGTGAAATTATTGTATTTTCTGTCGCCCTTTTTCATTCTGGGAAAAAATAGCTGAATTTTGACAATGGCCCGCTAAGAGCGAAGACAAAATGCAAGTAATTGTTGTATTTTGTGAATCGATACCACCTTATATGCATTCGCCTTGTGAGTGGTCTTAATATTCATCAGAAAAATATTCATCATTAAAAACATGCTTCTTCTTCCTTCATTTGCTACTTACAATGATGTAGCAGGGAAAATATAAAAAGTTAACAAATTTAACTTAAATTTTTGAAATCTTACATCATACAGAAAAATCTTAATTTTTAAGATATTTTCAGTGAAAAATTTTGCTTTTAAAAAAAATATTTTTTGAAGATTTTTAATACAAAAAGTAGCCCGAAAAATCTTAATTTTGAAGATAAATCTTCACTTATGGCAATTCTGGATATAATGGGTTTATTGGTATGCGGAATCCAACATGTAGCTTTTGTTTTTAATTATAGCATTTAATTAACGCATTTAGGCAATGTAAACCAGTTTTCAGCAAAACGAAGGGTCTGCCAACAAAGGGAATCCTCTGAATTTATACCTCTACGATGAGACCCACATTCAGCGATGTGTCAGTGGTGTAGTGGAGCAGACTCTCAATCAATAACTTGGGAAATCTACTTGCTAAACTTCCAAAACAATCGCTGTGTTCTGTACGGTACAAAACCTTGCGCTGGTCTTGTCGCACTGCTTCACTTCCCGTCACTTTTTGTCTTTATACATCACCTGCAGACTAAGAAGAAACGGATGTTGGTATAACACTGAGTGTGGTGTGGTGAAAATGGCTACCGGCAGAGGTCTGAGCACTTGTATATTTTCAATGTCGCAAAATATTTAATACGCCAGCATTACCTTTGATTTTATAATGTTGAGTTCCCTGAAGTTGAATGCTGGTTAAATCGGACGGTCGGACTCACACATTTTGGGACAAACACCTAACTTTGATAGGCATACATGGCAAGTCCATTTTCCCAGCCCTTCTTGAAGAGGATGAGATGGCGAAATATTTTTTCAGCTTCTTCCCCGCCTTTTCAGGGAGTAGGTATGCGGCATTAGGCCGCGATGTGTTGAGAGGCGAACACCTGAGCTCATTGGCACCCAATCATCTGCTAAGGTTTATTCGTAGATTAAAACAGATTAAAAGGGACATGACAACAGTACAATGAATGGCATGTAGTCTCAGTGCTGTTTTCTAAGTTATATAAGTCCAGAAGTGAATTTCTCGTACAAAAAAATCAAACACTTTTTTACAGCACTACCGCAAAGTAAATCGTTGCTGAGAAAAAAAAAAACCAAATTGATTTTACACTCTTGGTTTCTTCTGCAAACTTGCTTAAAATTTCACGCAGAATACTCCTATGCCATATTGGCCCAACCTAATTTACATTCATACCTACATATATAAAAATCAAATATCATCATAGCCATCAGTTTGAATTTTTCCACGGGAGCAATATACAAACCTATAGTCGTATTTTTTTTTTTAAATTTCTGTGCGCTTTGCTATTTGTGTGCCTTTTCATTTGGCATAAGTTCATTTATCATGCATTCTCTTATGTTCTGCTAATTGCAGATATATGTATATGTTGTAACTATATACATACTTACAAGTATGTTGAAAATTCCAATATGCATACTTACATATACAATTCTCTTCCCTTATATTCAGTCATTTTGATTTTCCTTTTTTTTTTTTTTTTTTCTTTTTTTTTTTTTTTTTTGCTTTTTTGTATTTTCAGTTACAACATTCATAGTGTCAGCACTTGTTAGTCACGAGAACAAATTGGATATGGTGCATGTACAAAATTCAACATTGGCTGGCGGTGTTGCCATCGGCACTGTTTGTAATTTACTAGTTGGATCGCATGGCGCTATATTAATTGGCATCATTGCCGGCTGCATTTCGGTGTTGGGTTATCGTTACCTCACGGTAAGTTCATATGTACATTTCCAACTCCCTTTGGTTACAACTAACTATATACACCCTTTGTCATGTTAGAATTTAATATAATTTTTGTTTTGTTTGTTGCTGTATGCAGTGCGTATGCGTTCATGTTAGTTCGTTTTCAATGCATCTCTAAAATCGCTTTGTGCGCCATAAGCCTTCCGGTTATTGATACATTTTTGCTAGTGCAACTACATACAATAAACACCCGCTCGTGAAATGTTATGTAGCAATGCATTTGTGCATACTATAGTCCAGTTGGATCCGTTGCTAATTAGTGAATTTGGAATTTTGACCTAAGCTTTGTCGACTATTTGGCATTCGACGCCCGCAACTCATTCCATTACTCTGTTTGAACGGGCATTCACAATTTGGCTGCTCGTGCGCAACGGGAGGCTGGCCACACACTTCATACAACAAAGTGTATTTCGTCAC